AGTGGAGCTGGAGTACAAAATGATGTTTAGCTGCACCACAAATCATGAAAAAATGACAAGAGGGATGTCAGCATTTAGACTAGATATGATCTCATCTAACTCAACTTCTTGAAAAGTCAGGCAATCTCGGTAGTTGTCAAAGTCCCTGCTAAGCTAGGACAGAAATACTGTTGGCTTCCACCAAGGCAATGGCATCAAATGCTCATCATTTTTGCTGGAGTCCCCACCAGCTCCCGAGACAGCAAAAACGTTTCACTTTGCTGTGGCATTAGCACTGCAAATGTGTTTGTATGAGAGTAGACAAAATCCAGCAATTAAGATGGCAGTAGAGGATTTCTGACAGAGACCACTTCTGAAAGACAAATTGTATCCATCAGAGTTATCATTAGGATGACATCTCAGAGCATGCTGCCATCCCAAAAAAACCCTTAACACATCTTTCAACAGATAATTTAAAATGAATCTAAGAATTTATTTATTTATTTAATTTCTTTTTACAACAAGCAGAGTAAAGCACTAGCACAGGTTGTCCAGAGAGGTGGTAAATACCCATCCCTGGAGTCACTCAAGGTCAGGCTGGATGGGGTTCCAGGCACCAGACTGAGCCGTAGGTGTCCCTGTTCCTTGCAGGGGGGTTGGACCAGATGACCTTTAAAGGTCTCTTCTAACTTCAAAAATTCTTTAATTATATGATCTTTGGTCATTTCATGTTACAGCACTCTGGAAATATGAGGATTTTTACACAACTCTTTTCTAAGGAACCGAAATTACGAGGCCGGTGGGTAGTATGGAGAAATACACCCAGTGAGGAGTGGTATCAGGGATGAAGAAAAGCCTTGAGGTCCTCCATAGCCATGAGATACATATGGAAAAAGTTGCACTGAGGGACATGGTTTGGTAGGAAATATCGGTGATAGGTGGATGGTTGGACTGGATGGTCATGGAGGTCTTTTCCAACCTTTGTGATTCTATGATTTTATGATATTCACCCAAGTTTAACAGTAAGAACAGGGAACGAGGTTTTGTTCCCTTTCTATAGACTGAAAAAGAGAGTGCGATGCTCCTGTCCAGAGAATTTTTACAGCATGACTCAACCAATTTATTCATATTTTTACTTTGGCATGTAATAAATTATATTTCTGAGTCAACTGTTTTTCTCTATTGCCCATAAGGAAAGCCTAGCTCTGTCTGCAGATGATCACATGTCATTATGTACATTACATTTCAAGTCCAAGAGAAAAGAGATGTAAAAAGAAATGATCCTGAAAGGAACACAGAAGAAAAAAGAGAATCCAAAAGTGGCGAGATCACATTGCACACCTCTCTATGTAGGTATTTTCAATGGCAAGCTTGTGGCATTTATCTAAGAGGCAATGAATAGGCTGAAGAAGACAGAAAAGCAATGAGTTTGAACTGTATACCTAGGCTGGCAACAAACTGAATGCCTGCTGAGGCAGGGAGCAATAAAGAGTTTTCTCCAAAAAAAAAAAAGCCCTTCTTTTTTTCCCTTTTTTTTTGCCGTGACTCGTGAGCTGTTGTGTAAATCCAGGAATCATCATCACCCACTGCTGGCTAAGGTACTAGTGGGAAACTGGGGCTGGAGTTGGAGGAGGTCAGGAATTGCTGCCTACTACAGATGGAGAGTTTCTGTTGATATAGAGATTTGTAATGGCTCCACCCCCTGGTAAGGGAAATTAGAATAAATCTAGAGAAACAATGTGGGAAGCTACTCGTGAGGTTGCGAGACCAAATACATGCAAAATTTTGCTTATGAACTGAAGTATTTAACAGCAAATGCTGTAATGCCACAGCAACAATCCTCAAATCTGGTTCTCCACAACACAAGATGAAGAACCATAGTGAGTGAATCCCAGCATCACAGTGGCTCATATCCTACAAAACAGCAACAATATCAGAATTTGCACATGTACCCTTTGCAGAATGACCCATGTTGGCCTACAGACTGTTGGACTGGATGATCCTGGAAGTCTTTTCCAGTCTTGGTGATTCTGTGGTTCTATGGTTCTGTGCAGGCTAATCCCAAGCCTGCTCACCATGAACCACAGGCTCAGACCTGAAAGTAGAACTACCAATAAAAGTACCTGCCCCAGCAGCCAGATAAAACTCAGTTAAATGCATAGTAGTTAAATGCACCCATATGTACTGTATCCATCTAGAGAGGACCAAGAAGAAATCCATCCTGCCAAAAAGCACATGGCAGCATGGCTTGGTGAGGATCCACCATGCAGTAAAACTCATTCATCTTCAGGCCCTCCACAGCTTCTCTGGGTTTCAGCACACCCCAAGGAATACAGGCACACTGACACCACTATGCTGGAATATTGCAGAAGAATAAAAATGCATTCGAGCAGAATTCTGCTGAAAGCATGGACTTGCTTGGAGTCCAGCCTGCTCACATTTCAGGATGAATTTGGCCCAGTTTATATTCAAATGATTATAATGGATGCTGCAGTCTTCTTTTCATTAAGGCACTAGCCAAAAATATTGATTTGTTGTACTTCATGCTCCTGCTTACCTCCACGAATTTCAAGAGGCGGTGCATAAGCCAATAGAGTCGGTCAGTTTTAAAGTGACAAATTAACTGCACTGAAAGTAAATAAACAGCTGTCTCTTTGCAAATTAATTCAATATGTGACTTGAGCTCTTTTCTACATCTAGGAAGCAGATTCATCACTCAGCAGCATTTAAGTTGCCACCAGTTTAAGAGCAGAGTGTTAATGTTTTGTCCTGTTTGACGCAGCGGGTCGAATTCTGCACTCAAGTTACAAAAGCATGACTTAAAGTAGCTCCTGAATCCCTAAAATTTGTTCCCATGCACCCAAGCTGCAGTCATGCATACAAGTGCTCTTTGAGTTGCTTTCAAGATGGCTTAAGGTACACTGAACAATTGGGGAGAAACAGATACAAAAAGGATCCAAAAGAGAACTGTGAACTACTGCGGTATGGAATACCTTCTGGAATGGCTGTGGAATGGCTGAGATGGCGTAGCTGATGGGGTTGGCTCTTTTTCATGAAAATACTCATGAAAGACAAGGATTTGCAACATATAAAGATCTTTTTTGTTGACTTTTTTTTTTTTTTTTTTTTTTTTTGCATTTTTGTTGTTTGTTTTTTGCTTTTTATTTTCACAAACCAGATTTGTACCTGAAGGGAGGTTATGGTGAGGTGGGGTTCGGCCTCTTCTCCCAGGTAACTAGTGATAGGATTATAGTGAATTGCCTCAAGTTGTGCCATGGGGGATTCAGGTTGTATGGTAGGAAAAATTTCTTTTCAGAAACAGTGGTCAGGCACTACAACAGGCTGCCCAGGGAGGTGATGGAATCACTGACACTGGATGTTCAAGAAACGTTTAGATGTTGTACAGAGGGACATGGTTTAGTGGGAAATATTGGTGACAGATGGAGGTTGCACTGGATGACCTTAGAGGTCTTTTCCAACCTATGATTCTATGATTTCAATTCTAGGAATAAACTAACCCTTTTTCTGTCATCTCAACATGTAATTCATGTCTTAGTGAACAGGGACCCCAACTCGGTTCTGGGTACCGCCTTGCTAATAAATTAACTCAGGTTAATTTATTAATGAACAATACACGCTAACTCATCTTCCTGGAAGCCTATTTTCTAACAATCCCTTTCAGTTCCACAAATGTTGAATCCTGGGATTTTCAGAACAAAGCTAGAGCATTCAGACCAATATCCTATTGCTGAACTTCATGCTAACTCAATAATGTAGGCCAACATTTTCAGATGGAGGGGCTTAAAACTGAAATTCATGTTCAACTGCCTAAATAACGTCTCCCACACATGTTCAACTTCTATTAACACCTTCACATATGTGAGTTCTTAAAATCTCTGGTAATTAGACAAGGTGTCCTCTTGACTTCTGACATTCAACTTTAATGTTTCTTTGACTATCATCTGTGCACAGTCGCAACTCAGAGGCTACAGCACAAATAGAATAAAAATATTTTTCACTGCTTATGTTCAGACAAGATCCATTTGCATTTGTAATGTCGTCTGTTTTTCATAACGTTCAGTTTAGAAAGTTGTCATTTGATTAAACAGTTTGAATTTGTCAAAACATACATGTTAATCTTACGCTTTAATACCACGTTCACAAGTAAAAGCTTCAGCAAAATAAGACATACAAAGTCTGCTTAAACCACAGCAAGCCCACAGACTCAACATATTTAATTTTGGAACTGTTGACTAAAATTTTCTAATATTGCTTCTTCTAGTATCACAGCTGCACCGTTGCTCTCAACAGCTATCGAACACTTAAACAGCCAGCTTGTTAGCTCTGTTTTATCAGATGGTCTTCTATACTTCGTGTTTCCTACATTTTTCTACAGGATATAGTAGCAGTGAAGTTTAATATCTTAAAAATAGTCACTCTGTCAATGCTACTGTCACCAAGGAAAAGCTACCACAGGCTGAGCATATCTTACCCTGTATTTCTGCCTTTACACAAGCATGCCTACACTGACGAGGACCATGTGCTACAGTACAGTACATGATGCAGAATGGCATCTCATTCCAGTCTGCTGAGTCCCATAAAAAATTGCTCTCACCAACAACAAGCCAATGAAGCCAGTCTTATTTCTCACCTCTTCCTTCCTTCCATTGGATTTAAAACTACAGTCATGGTCATGAGTGTTGTGACTCTGCTGAGATGACCTGAGCACCTTAGAACGATCAACAGGTAATAAATACCGTGTTACAAAAAAGACCTTACAGAACTATCACTGCTTTTTAAATGGAGTCATTACACAGCTACTGAAAAGCAATGTCCATTATTTCACACCCACAGAATGATGAATGTAAGCAGATAATTAAATCATGTATTGCTGTACCCGGAATATTCTTATTTATAACTTTATCTTTCCTGTTAAGAAGACATGAATTTCTTGTTGTGAGTAGAAAATAATTATGCAAAAATCTCTATAAAAGGAAAATGATATTAGAAACAAAACTCACCAGTCTCTTCATCTATGCTGAATCTCCCCAGTCCACTGCCATCCCTGATAGAATACTGGATCTCTCCATCCCTTCCAGAGTCCTCATCTCGAGCAACAACTTGCAAAACACTCGTACCAATACGGGAGTTTTCCTTTACAGATCCAATGACAGCAAAGTCAGGAAAATAGGGAGCGTAGAGATTTTCATTAACATCCACCACTTCCACTTCCACAAAAGAAACAGAAGAGAGAGAAACTGGGCGTCCCTTGTCCTTGGCGCGCACAGTCAGGTTGTAGAACTGCTGCTTTTCATAATCCAGCTCTTTGCTCAAACGGATAGCACCACTGGCTTTGTCTATCTCAAAACGCCCATTGTAATCATTCACCAGTGAGTATCGGACCTGACCCCCCAAGCCGAGATCTGGATCGTGGGTTTCCAACCAAGCTATGACAGTGCCAACTGGCAAGTCCTCAAGCACCTTCACATTGTAACTGGATGGGATGAAGGCTGGAGAACAATCATTGACATCATCCAAAAACACCTTCAGAGGCACAACAGAAAACTGCTGATGGCCGCTCTCTGCTTTATCCCTAGCCTCAATTTTTAGGGTGTAATTTGCTTTTGTTTCCCGATCTAGTTGATCAGCCACATACACCACTCCCGTAGAACTGTTGATGGCAAACTGCTGGGTGTCTGTCAGAACTGAGTAAGTCACTTCCCCGTTGGACCCAAGGTCTTTGTCTCTGGCTTCTACTTGTATAATTTCTGTACTAATACCTGTACTTTCTAAAATGTTAACTGAGTAACTGTCTTGTAAAAAAATAGGCTTGTTATCATTTGCATCCCCTACAGTGACAGTCAACAGTCTCCACGCAGATTTCTGTGGGTTACCTAAATCATAAATTGTAATATTAAGGATATAGAGATCTGTTTTTTCACGGTCCAACGGCATAAGAACTTTTAGTACCCCTGTCTCTATGTCAATGTTGAAACGACTATCTGCATTACCATCAGAAATTGTATAAACTACCCTTCCATTAAAGCCTGAGTCTGCATCATAGGCTTTTATCCTCAGGATGGTGGCACCAACTGGCAGATCCTCCGAAACCATCACATCAGTTGGGAAGGTTTTGTCAAAATGTGGTGCCTGCCTGTTCACCGAATAATAATCGAGAAAACCGTCTTCTAAATTCAACTTCACGTTTGCTTTTGCCTTTTTGAGCAATTTTTCTGCTAGCCTTTGTGCAACTCTTGTCTCTCTACAGCTAAATGTCTTTGACGATACTTTCCCATGAACTACTGAAATATTAACAAACATAGCATCAGCAAAGTTCTCTCCATCAGTGGCTGTTATCTTAAGGCCAAAGTTGCTGTTCTTTATGCCAGAATTAATAAGAGACTTTTTAAGTTGCAGGACACCAGAATCAGGATTTAAATAAAAAATGCCAAGCTCATTTCCAGAGATTATTTTGTACTTTACAAGCTCTAACTCATCTATGTCTATAGCAGAAACAGCAGTAATGTGACCGCCGACAGGAAAGTCAGATGAAATCACTCCCTGGCATGCCACTTTTTCAAAGAGGGGTTTGTTATCATTGACGTTACCTATGTATATGGTAACATTCACTTCGCTTTCATGCCGGTAGGGAGAACCCCAGTCGGAAGCCCTCACTATGAACCTGTAGCTTTCCGGTGAGGACTCAAAATCCAGTTCTTCAGATGTGCTGATGACACCTGTAAACTGATTTATTATAAATGGCAGTGAGTTCAGACTAGCAATGCTGTATGTTATGTATCCATTTTCTCCCCTGTCTTTATCGACTGCTGAAACTGCCAAAACGCTAAACCCCACGGGGACACTTTCGTTGACGAATGAGCTGTATGAAGGCTGCTGGAATTCCGGTGTGTGATCATTGGCATCTTCTAGCCTGATAGTAACCTGTGCTTTTAAATCGTCACCTTTGTTGGTACACACTTCTAACTCATAGAGGTCCTTCTCAATGATTTTTAAAGAACAAGCAGTAGTAATGAGGCCTGTGATGGGATTGATCTTAAAATTCTCAGCACCCTCACCAGGAGATATTCTGTATTCCACACCCAGGGGCTCAGGCATCAGCTTAACGACTGCAACCACCACACCTGGAGGTGAAAATTCACTGATTGAAACATCATATGCTTCCTTTTCAAACTTCAAGGGGATAGTTTCTTTCTTGGGACTAGCAATGTGGACCAGTTTGACTGCAGAAAATTTCTGAGGAGACCCTTTGTCTTTTGCTTGGAGAGTCAGATTGTAACCATAAGGGAAGCTGTCCCAGTCAATAGGCTTTCTCTCTTTGATTTTGTACTCATTCATCCATTTGCCTTCTTTAATCAGAAAGAACTGCTCTAGTGGATCTCCAGCCACAATTGAAACAGATTCAATTTCTCCATTGGCTCCTTCATCTAGATCATCGATGTTAACGACTGCATAGGTAGGCTCCTTGTCTGATGGGAAGGGAATATGCGTTACTACACTTATTGTTGGAGCGTGTTCATTTATACGTTCAATGTGAACATAAAGCTTAGCTGTACTGCTTACACCATTATTTCCATAAAGCTTCATCCCACGGTCCACAGCCAAAATCTCAAGATCGTACCTGTTTTTTTCATCATAGTTTAACCGGCCACTTAAGGAGATAACGCCACTTGTAGGATGTACTGAGAAGAGATCAACTTTGCTTTTGAAATAATAATAAAATTCGCCATTGGACCCAATATCCGCATCTGTTGCAGTCACCTGAGCAATGCTAGTCCTTAGTGGAGTGCTTTCTGCTATTGTGACAGAGTAGGTGGTTGGTGAAAACAAAGGTCTTAAGTCATTCATATCCAAAACCTGGATGTTCACTTTTGTCCACGCTTCCAAGTCCTCTCCTCTGACAGACCCTTTCACTATCAATAAATAGTTGTCCTGGATTTCTCTGTTTAATATAGCAGAATTTCCACCTTTAGTCCTTATTCTCAGGAAGCAAAAGTCAGCAATGACAACTTCCTCTGCTTTAAAAAAGCCCTCATCATCACCGGACACTATCCTGTACTTGATATCCCAAGAAAGGTCGGACAAGGTAATGCCCATTCTCATTTGACTGTTGACGTAGGTCCTGGCTGCCGAATTCTCGTTCACAGTTGCATTGTAAGTGGAATGTGTGAAGTGAAAGCCAAGCGGGGCGGCTCCATGTGCTACCTGGAAGAGTGTGGCCAGGAGCTCGGCAAGCAGAAGGGCAAGGCAAGGCGGAGGGGGCCGAGTGCCTGACCAGCGGCCCATGTTTATCTCCATCACATCATCCTTTCACACTGTAACAGAGAGAGAAAAGGAAGGTGAGTGACCGAGAGGTAAAAACTGTACTGAAAAAAGAACTAGTTACCACAGATCTAACAAAACAGAAAGGGAGAACACTATATGCACACAAAAGCAACAATTTTTCATTATATTTTTTGTCTGTGTGTATGCATTTATATGCATGCATACATACATACAAATATATATGTGTATATGCATACACTTTTTTAAGATAAAAAATCTCCATGGAATCCAACCATATCTGTATGTATATGTAGACAATACAAAAACCACAGTGGAAAAAGAATAAAATCAGACACACATTTGAATAAGTTCATATAAGATGATGAATCACATTCTGAAATTATTGTTTATATTTACCAATAGTTTCAATTAAATCTAAACTTGATTGCTTTTACAGCACACTGGAAGACTTCTTTTTAGTCCCAAACTTTGGAAAGAACAGGATTCTCATTGTCTATGTAGCACCGTGATAGTCAAGGCTATCAGGTTTTATATAGGAAGCTAAAGATCACATAATGAAATCTGAGAAATCAAGAAAAAGTAGTACATAAAAATAAGAGCCAACCACTACTGACACCTACAAAACTAATCAAAATCAAAATTAAGGAAGAACTATGGCTATTTAAATGTAATTGCATACACATATACACATGCATACCCAGATACTGAGAACAGGCAAAACACAGTGAAGAAAATATAACTGCTCAACAAAGTTTCCAGGTAAATACTTGGGTCAATAACCATCACAGCCAGATAGCACATCAGAGTCCACTCTTGTCCACACATTAAGTCCACTCTTGCTTATGAACTACAAGGTATTTGTAATTACCATCACTACTATCTATCCAGTACATGTGGTAATGTGCAGTAAAAGAAGAAAGTGCAGAACAGTTTTCAATTGGTGAATGCTGAATGCATTCCATAAACGCTCCATTAGTTATTTATTTCAGCCTCATCCCAAGCTAGGAAAAATGTTCTCCCATCTACTGCCTGTCCTGCTGCAAGCAGGCTGCCCAAGGAGGCTGTGGATGCCCCATGCCTGGAGGCATTCAAGGACAGGCTGGCTGTGGCTCTGGGCAGCCTGGTCTGGTGGTTGGCGACCCTGCACATAGCGGGGGAGTTGGAACTAGGGGATCATTGTGGGTCTTTTCAACCCAGGCAATTCTATGAGTCTCTAACTTCCAGGCTATACAGAGATAGGGGAAGCAGAGACTGGCGGAGATTGCTGGAGGGTGCTGCAGAAGATCTGAGTGAGGTTTCCACTGATGGCTTTCCACTGAAAGAAAGGGAAAGGGGCCTGAGGAAATCTGTCAGATGCTTTAAGTGAGGCAGTGTGAAGAATAAGCTCCCTTGTTACAACCTACCTTCACTTGTGAAAATCACAGAAATCAATTGCAAAAGGCAATTATTAAAAGACCCACTGCACACATGCATGGTTCTCACTGCTATTTAAAAGCTGCTTGAAAATGCAGTTTTCTCCAAGCTAGAATACAGAGTGGAAAAGGATACGAAAAGTTGTCAATAATGACGGGAGTTCATTTAAATTTCCAACATGATTTCAGCATCCCTTAGGAGATTAATAAATTGCAGGCAAGTTTTGGAATAAGAATTCATGTTAGTTATCACTTCCAATACAACTGAATGACTTTTGCATTTTTAAGTACTAATGACAATCAATTTATTGCACCGATGTTAAAACGTTCACACAAAACACTTAACTTCCTGATCCCACAGTCTATATCCCATTTCTTAGCATATTAATCAGTTTGATAGCTTTCCCAAATGTTAGTCAAGGCACACATCTTTCAACACACTTATTTGCACATGCAGCTCCCCCTGACCTTGTTTCCTTCTTATTTTCTATTTTAATAACCACAAGTAAAGAACTCTTCATCAAGGAAATAAACATCAAAGATTCTATCACCTCCTGGACTTGCACTCCCAGCTAACAAGGCAAAACCCTACAGAAGCACAAGTGGCGCTTCCCTGTCTGAATACACGCAAATGACGTAAATGACTGCAACTCAGCAGTTTCCCAGAAACAGGTCAGTTTGGGGTACAAAGAGGTATAGTATTCCATTTGTGTCTCATTTAGTGGTTAAGTTCTTCTGTCCACACCACAGCTCAGCCCAAGTTGGCTTCTTCTCTTCTCTCATAGCCATCAACATCAGGTTTCCAGATCCTTTGTAATCAGAAATCATCTCTCCTGAAAAATACCACAAGCAAAAGCAAACTGCCACAAATAACTCTATCTTCAGATACAGACTCTGCAGTGGCAGACAGGCACCAGAACAGACATTTACAAAGCTGTGCATTATGAGAAAGCTGTGCTTATTCCAGGCAATACAATGGGGCAACGTTATGCTCATTGCATTTATCTATTTCTTTTTAGAGAAAGCCAGGGCCAAAACCTAATCTCAAATGCACAACTGTAAATCCACTTATGTCAGCAGTCTATAAGGTTTTAGTGGTTCAGTATAACCAAGATCCGGAAGCAGTAAGTTCCGTGTAGAAACAACACACGATACACACAGACCTATGTTTATGTGTATGTACACAGAGCGCGCGTGCTTGTGAATGTGTTTCAGTTCTGTACACATGTATGCAGAAACGGTTTGTATATTTTTAGGTATAATTTCAGGGTTGGCACTGGAAGAATTGGACTTTCCCATCAGGCAGCATTTTTAGAGTCTGATTTCCCTTCAGATGCAGTATGCAGTGTTGTAACAAGCTCCTCACTGAAGTTATTCATCTATCCATACATTTACATGGTCATCATTATTGTATTATTTGAAAGTCCCAACAGACAAGCTATTAAACTTTCACTTGGGCTACCCAAGAATGTTTTATTCATTTACTGAATTCCTTTCTTCTGGGGTATTTGTTTTTAAGAGCTCATAACACATACATACTTAACGCACAGGAAATGTAATGTGATAGGTTATAGAAACAAAGTACAAAGCAACCCACCGTAAATTAAGAGGCATTTCTTTAAAGGCACCTCTTGTCAAAAAAATGTTATGGTTTTGAGTGAAGAGAAAGACTGTGATTACTTGTGCTTGATTTTGAAACGTTTGGGCAGGAGCTACTAAAAAAAAAAAAGACTCCCAACAGTGCAGAAAGAAACAGCTTTTTTTTTTTACAAGAACAGAGACTAAAACACAAAACTTTCTAAATACCCAAGGAGGCAACAAGATGACATACAGTACGAGTCCAGCAACCTTCTGCTCCAGGTCACGTTCAATTCTCTGGTCTTGAAGTGGAAAGAAAGGAATGGGGACATAGAAGCTGTGGTTTCATTTTTAATCTTGTTAAAAACAAGATTAAAATCTAACAGAGTGACAGAGAACTATGACTTCAAGTTTAGTTCTCCACTCAGCTGCTTGTCCTTCGCCTCTTGAACAAAGAATAACTATATAACTCAGACCTTGCAGGGTAGCTCCAAGATCTGTGGGTGGATGGTGCTCCTTAGAGGAACTATGAGAGGTATGAGACTCAATCCTTCTTTTTCATCTTGGCTCTGGCAATCTGCAGCCTACCAGACTGGGAAGAACAACTTCAGTCCCAAGAACTGCCAAGACTCCCACACACCAGAACTGTGGGTCTAATCTAATGTGCAGATGCAAAACAAGTGCTGTATGATCCTCCTTTTGGTTCCCTCTCCCAAGACTAATTCCTCCAATCCCGAAGATCTCCATACTGAAAAATACATTTAAGAGAAAACAATATATGCACTCTTGGGTAAACTATGACAATACTGAACAAGTGCCAAAAAGACGTTTAGAAAACATGAGGAATACAACAGGTAAACTTCTTCAGCAGACAGAAGGAATAAGCTTTTAGCAATACACAGTTGGGAAAAGAAAAATATTTGCCTATCCCTTTACTTATCCCCCCTGTCCAAATATATCCTATAGGAGTATTTGCAGCTGACCATTAGATAAATTATAGAATCATAGAATGGTTTGTGTTGGAAAGGACCCTTAAGATCATGTAGCTCCAACCCCCCTGCTATAGGAAGGGGCACCTCCCTCTAGAACAGGTTGCTCAAAGCTCCATCCAGCCTGGCCTTGAATGCTTCCAGGGAGGGGGCATCCACAACCTCACTGGGCAACCTGTTCCAGGGTCTCACCACCCTCACAGTTTAAGAATTTCTTCCTAATATCTAATCTACATCTATCCTCTTCCAGTTTAAAACCATTTTCCCTCATCCTGTCACTATGCGCCCTTACAAGAAGTCCCTCCCCAGTCCTGTAGGCCCCCTTCAGCTACTGGAAGACTACTATAAGGTCCCCCTAGAGCCTTCTCTTCTTCAGGCTGAAGAGCCCCAGCTCTCTCAGCTTGTCCACACAGGAGAGGTGCTCCAGCCCTCTGATCATCTTCATGGCCCCCCTCTGGACCTGCTCCAACAGCTCCCCGTCCTTCCAGTGTTGGGGGCTCCAGAACTGGGTGCAGTACACCTGGTGGGGTCTCATGAGAGCAGAGTAAAGGGGTAGAATCATCTCCCTCTAATGTCAATGATTTATGGGCTGTTTCGGCCTGGTTCCATGACCAGCAGGGTGGAGGGATCCGCAGATCCATGCCTCTGGAAAAGGGAAACAGGGGACCCCAAAATAATTGAAAACAGCGGCAACGATCTGAGGTGAAACAAACTGATTTACTAAATATAATATCAGCAAAATATAATGACAGAGAGAGAGTGTATGTCTGAAAGGTGGACAGGCCTCACTGCAACGTCGAGGTGAGAAATGCAGTCCAGTTGAGCGATGGAAAAGCAGACGGCGAAGAGCAGACGGAGAAACGCAGGTGAAGAAGAGCAGGCGAAGAAGAGAGCATCAGGTGACCCTGCCAGGAGTTCTGTCTCCTCGCTGACCGCAAAACCCCCTGGGGAAATGTAGCTCTTCTTCTCCTCTGGACAGGCATCCAGAACTTTAGCATAGCTCTCAAACCCCCAGTGCATTACATGATGTTATGGTGTGCAATACTGATA